ATGAGGCAGGAATGAGGTTGCTTATAGAAGGGTTATTCGTGGAAACCAAACTTGCTTTCTGTCAATCACCATCACCTTTTTTCGCTGCTTTCTTTTCCTCCGTGGAGTGCCTTTGCGCCCTCTAGGTGATCACCGACACTTTAAGCTTGAAGCTTGATCGATTGATCGATGATCTTTCAGATCATCACTTGAACTACTATCACTGGTGGGAACTTTGCAAATTTGAATGAATTGGGCGCAGGAAAGGGACTCCGGGCCTATTTTATTAAAACTTGGGATGGGGATGCATATTAAAGTAACTCTGAATCTAACTAGAATAATATCTGAACCGATAGAGGTGGGGGAGAAGAGCTACAAGGCAAAATACACAGAATGCTTGAATCTCCATACATGGGCATCGACTTTGCAAGATCAGTCACATCAAAGTAACGCGGCAGCAAGGGCAAATGTTTCCCAGTTTTCCCCTTAGTGGGGTTTACCGCTGTCACACATAGGGTCTGTGACACAAACCCAGGTGTATACAAATGTCCAAGCCTGTATCGCCTTCTGCAGTTCATTTTTTACTGTCGAGATGGCTAGGATACATAGATTACATGTATGAGTACCTAGCAATGTAGTTTCATAAAAATCGGTCCATTGTGGAAGCAATGTGGGGCAGAATATTGTCAATTAAACAGATTTGCAAAGTTAATACCCTTGCAAAGTTAATACCCTTGCAAAGTTCCCACCAGTGATAGTACAAGCTCGATAAGCGCCTAATGACTGTTCAAAAACCCGTACCTCCGCAACGGCTCTCCTTGCACTGGGGCGTCGACGAGGATGTTGAAGAGATTAGCCGCTATACCTACGGGGGCTATCACCCCATCCAGCTTGGAGATGTATTGCCACCGCCCGCAGATACCGAACCAAGCAATTCTCGCAAGTATCGCATACTCAGTAAGCTCGGTCATGGCTCTTTTTCCACCGTATGGCTAGCGTCTGCGCAACATCATTCTGCATCCGGGTAAGCACGACCTTCTCAACGATTACTATTGCGACCGACTCACTTATTTGTCCCGCAGACGCTATTTTGCAATCAAAGTCTGCGTTGCCAATGCCGATCCTCAGCGTGAACTAGATGTTTTTAGACTGCTCTCCAGCGATGAAGGGCGCCATGTGCTACGGCTTCATGACAGCTTCACAATTGATGGTCCTAATGGCACACACGCGGTACATGCTTTCAATGTTCTAGGTTCATTCCACATAGTTGCTCGGCTTGCACGACCTCACTGGAACCCGCGGGATCTTTGTCGCCAAATTGCTCAGGGGCTAGCCTTTCTTCACCGTCATGGTGTTGTGCACGGAGGTTAGGTCATTTTATCCATTTTAGCATTCAAACTGATGGAAATAGGTGGGCTACAGATCTCCACATGGGAAATATTGGCGTGTCCATGCCGCAACTGGACGATATCATTGAGGAGGACCTCATCGATCGCTTCGACCCGCCCGAATGCACAATAGTTTTTCCTCGTCAGACGCCCGCACGGCCAGAATCCTTGCCTCCGTACCTTGTCCCGCCGACGCATATATCCGAACTCCTTCTGAAGCCAACCGCTGAACTGCACATTGAGCTACTCGATTTAGGAAATGGTATGCATTAGACGAGAATGATGTTTGCCGTGGGCTCACGTTAGCTCGGTAGCTATAATTGTCGGAAGCAGCTCCGCACCTCCTGCCTGTACACCTGCGGCGGTATGTGCGCCAGAGATCATGTTTGAACAAGTCACTACCTCGGTAGTCACCCAATCTGCTACAACCGCGAGCGACATCTGGGCACTGGCTTGCATTGTATGCACAATCACTACTCTGGTTTACTTATATGTCTATGCCCCTCTAACACTAGTTGACAGATGTACGAAATCGTCTTTAACGTAGTCCTGTTCCACCTCGCATCACACGACGACTACCTCCTGGGCAAGATGGCGGCCGTTTGCGGCAAAGTCCCGCCGTCGTGGCGCAGCTTTTGGGACTCGAACGAACATCTCCGCAAACTAGGTGATTAGCGGTCGGATTTCCTGAATCCTTGCCCGCACTGACTCCCCATCTTGCAGATATTTCCCAGGAAGCGGCCGACCAGAAGTGGCAGAGAAAGATAGATAATTCATCTGCGAGAAAAGGTGGCGCACTTAGTAGAGAAGATTTTGTCATCTTTTGCGACCTTTTACAAAGGATGCTCAAGATAGATCCAAGTGATCGACTAACTATTGAGGAGGTACTGGCGCACCCGTGGCACACCCAGACAGCGGACAATTCAATTTGATAACTCGAGAACCAGATTTTTCAAAAAATCTCAGATTTGGAAAAGCCGGATGGATGGCTGGCGTTGGGTGGCATCCTTGAGACAAGCAGCATAAGTCACAAAGCAGAAGAGGTTGTGAAGAGTCAAAACATTCAACACGTCGGCATTAGTCTTCAACAAGTCAAGGAGTTGGAGGAGTTCAGCCATTGAAAGGACGGCTGCAACAGAGTTTATATACATTCCTCGGCTCTAAAGGAATATTGAACAAATATCTAAGTAGTTCAGCAGACCTCCACATGCTTGTGCTTTGGAATATTTCAGACTTGTAAAGTGTAAGAATATGCACGAAATGAGCGTAGCGTACCTTCTGTCATATCGTTGTGGATCCAGTGACCCTCGGGCGCCTAATGTTGGAAAATACTCTATTTCAAAAGGACGGGACTCGGTTTGTCAGAACGATTGTATTCTGAAATACTTGTGTGTAAGTGTTGAACTGTTTTTCTGGTGATGCAATGTAATATGCGCGTTCCATGCATGGGGGCCGTAATTACTGTTGTTCGTACTATAACCTTCCAAGTCCTTCACTATGAACGTAACTGTTCCGCCTAAAAGTCATGTGTACACTGGCAACTTTCCGGCGACGAGAGTGAGCACCTCCGAGAAACCAGAACGTCGACGCATCCGAATATCGTCGGCCAAGAACGTTCAAGGGCATGACCTGTGTTTCTGATCAGCTTTGCAGTCCCTATCAAGAGGAAATTCGAAATACCAAAAAACGGGCTTGACGGGCTGCTTTTACTGCCGGACCATTCCCACTCTTTATCTGGATGATGAGGGACATAAACTGTAAGAATATACGCCAAATGAACATGGAGTACCTCCTGCATCGTCGTAGATCCAGTGACCCTCGGGCGCCTAGAAAAGTTCAATGTTAGAGATTATTCTATTTCAAAAGAAAGGGTCTAACCGTCAAGACATCAAAGAGATCTTGATAGAGCCTCTTTGGATTACGCAGGATTGACTTGCTCGAAACGATGAATTGTCCCTTGTAGGTACACTGAAGGCAACACCGTGAAAACAAATCAGTTGTTACCAAGGATTATAAATACCAGCTGTCCGCCGCTTGGACATAAGCGTCCTGTAAACATTGCACAAATTTCTCGCATACGTGGAAAGTATTTCTTCAACCCGTGGGCGTCCCTATAATAGAATGAGTAAGGTAACATTGGAGTGTAAGGTGGGCACTGCACCTTCCGCAGTCGCATTCTGCATATCTTCCAAGACTTAGAAAAGATGTTTCCTTTCGAAGCACAGAAATCCTGGAATTTACAATGTCCTGAACGTCCAAGATTGCCTGACCAAATAATATGTGTGAAGAAAATTCGTGTGGATATCGTTGTGCTCGATCATATTGCGAAAGGATATGAGTTAGGCTGTTTATGAGTTATTCTTCGTCAGACGGCCATGTTTTACGAAGCGAATAAAAAATATCCTACAATGATCCACCTTCTCGCCCCCGATTGGAAAGCCTGATGATAGAATCTGCACCAAGCAATGTTTGCAAAGAGTTGTTTACAGGGAGCGATTCATCCTTGGAATAGACAATGATCTTGCTGGAAAAGCCTCTAGAGCCTAGTTGCTCACGCAGAGCTTGGATTCCCTGAGCGACAGTAGTGACGTTCTCTCGGTAGTAGGATAAGACAACGTCGATGTCCTGTACTTGACGGTGGCCCAAAAAGAATCTCTGGTAAACTTGAGAGGAAAGCCGAGTAGGAAGGTTGACAAGGATCAGGATCGAGAGACCCACTGGCAAGAGAACCATCGCGAGGCTGATCCTCAAGTTCATCCTTTTCCAGTGCCACTAGAGCGATTCTTAGATGAAACAAGCGGAGAGAGGGAAAAGGGTGCACAGGTATGAGCCCTCTCCAAGATCCAAAGGGAGTGCGCTCGATGCGCGCAACGGGCTCATACGGGGTTTGATCTCATCAAAACACGCTTGCATGCCGCTGCTAAAGAGGACCTCATAACAAAATCCAGTCAACCTTCGCTCCTCAAGCGCGTTCACCGAATTGTGGCCGTTTGGAACATTTTCAGGACTTTGGTGCACTGGCGGCAAACGTCAGGCACTTTGTTGAAAGTTTAATCTTCCCAGATTGGGCCCGGGATCCTCTGATGCAACTCTCGTATATTGGCCAAGCTTTCTCCCAACCCACCATATACGACCTCATCTTTTCATGCCTTCCACCTCCCACAATCATGCGATGTGGCCGTACCTGTCGCGTGATCTATGTCGCCACCAAAGACTTCAACACCAGAGCCTATAACATCAATCGCCACCTCTCAAGGTTCTTCAACGATCCGGAGGGATTTCGTTCCCTCCAAGCTCAAACGGCCGCTCTCATATCGGGGTCCAACGCGCTCCAGTTTTTGGATCGATCACATTACGCCGATTCCGACCTCGACGTCTTTGTATTTGCAGGCACTGTCAGAGAGATTGGGCGATGGTTGATTAATCACGAAGGGTATTCATTCACTCCCAGACCAGAGCAATCGCCTGAGTTTGAAAAGGCCGCCGTTGAAATGTCTCCTGTTCCTGGCGAACCTGAGGCATTCGAGGTGCACGAAGCGGAATATCGTTCAACCGGTATTATTGGTGTGCACTCGTTTTCGAAAGCGCCGGATCTTACGATCCAACTCATAACAACTCGTCGCACCCCGATGGACTGTATCTTGCGTTTTCACTCCAGTATGCTGGTCTTCTACTTCGCATATTCTTTGACTAATATGCGCCGTTTTAGCTTGTGTGATGAACGTGATTGCTTTCGATGCTGCTTATTCATTGTACCCTAGGGCAACATTCGACTTGAGGCGTGGGCTCTCACTAGCACATATCTCTCCTCGCGAAGCAAAAGCCCTTGCGAAATATGGAGCCCGCGGGTGGGTGATCCATTCGACAATATGGCCGCACGAGGAAGATACCTTGAAGCCTCTTTTCAAAGTTGACGTCCTGCGCCGCATGATTGATCGTGATTCATGGGTCATTCCCTTTGATACGACTGACATCACGTTGCGTTCGCCATTCAATTTGTCGTCGCCCCCCTTCACAGAGGACCCAGCTGCTTTCTCTAGCTGGACGCTTTGTGGACGCACTTCCCTGGAGTACGACATGTCGTACCGTTTCTTGTCGTCAACCATCTTGAAGTACGACTATGTAAATGACGACCCTGGTTTCTTAGAGGTCATGATTGCGTTCTTCCAGAAGCAAGGTTCGCTGGAACACTCAAAATTTCGTGGGCTCCCGAAGGATGTGGAGGCTTGGACTTGGTTGAGCGAATTTGATTTTCTACATCGACTTGTTTCAACTAACCATGACTCTAGGTGGGACGCTTCTCTTCCGGGCTTTTACAAGGCCTACCTCAAGCGGCTCGAGGACAGAAGGATGGATGAAAGCTGACTTGTCTTTTATCACAACAGTACCATCGGCTGGCCTCCTTGTATAATCTACACATGTCAATTAGGAGCAACATCCTGAACACTATCATAAAATTCTTTGATAATTCGTCTCTGGGCATCCACTCCCTTCTCGTCCTGCATCAACAACAACATTAGTACCCCACAAGGCTTAACAAGATGTCACAAACTGAAGTGTCCCCAATTGCCCGAACAACAACATATTTCCTTCCAGTCAATATATCCTCCGTCACATCCCCAAATTTATCGGAAGTCGAGGTCGCAGCAAAAACGTCATGGGAGCCGGTCACCAGTCCACCAGCCTCTTCAGCGATGACGATCCCAGCGCACACATCCCAGGGCCAACAGCCAATCTCCCTTCATGCAGCAGTGTCTTCAAATCGGGAGCAACTCGGGGGAAGGGGACGTACCAGTAGAGGTCAAGACTTCCTTGTGCAACCATTCCGTAATTCAACGCAGCGCTTCCCATCGAACGAAGGGAGTGTGCCATTTTGCCGCCGAGGATACCCTGGGCTGGGTTACCTGCCAAGCGGGAGAACGAGGCCGCTTTAGCGGATATGGTGGTTTCAGAGCGATCCGAACCCCACTCCACGGCTGACAAGGTAGTTCTATAAGATGGTAAGGAGAAACAATAGAGTAGAGAGTATACCGATGAGAGCTTGGTTGAGGGATGGAAGCGGTTTGGGTGGGGATGCGAGCGGAAGCCTCTTGGGTTCGCCGTTTGCTTGGCTAAGATGCGAACCTTGTCCTTTCACGCCCGAGTACTCGAAAACGGTATAAATCAAACTGCGGCATATCGGTAATACGAGGAAGGACATACAAGATGGTTAAGGAATGGATTGTAGATGACCCCCAGCACCGGTCGTCGTTTATAAATTAGCCCTAGGGAAATGCAGGCGAATGGGAAACCATGAACAAAATTCGTTGTGCCGTCTGCAATCAAACTGTCAGAGGTGATGCGATTGAGAAGATATTTCAACCATACCGATAGGGTCTACGCAAAATGTAGGCTCATCCGTCAAGGGCGGACGCGACCCCGCCGAGTACGATTCTTCCCCGATACTATTGAAACAAAACGATTACTTAACCACAGCGCGTTCATAAACGAAAACATCACTCACAATTTGAAGTTGGGGTACTTGATCCCCAATTCCTTCTTCACCAACTCCTCAACGCGAACATCGTACTCCGTCACCAGATCCACCGAGTTCTTCTTCTCATTGACATTCGACTCGGCAGATACGGCTTGGATAGCTTCGGAACCTTCCAAGATCAACTCACCGGCCTTGCGCGCGAGGGTAGTAGTGAATTCGAGGATGGCCTTCAGATCCTGTGGAGTGAGCTCGGGAACGGACATGGTGGTTTGAAGTTTGAGCGATCGATTAGATGAGCTCCATGATCGGAGCGTTTCTGGGCCTCAAGCGGAGAGAGCACGTTGGTAGAACGCGTCAACTAATCAAAATCATCACGGCCTTGGACGACGAGCAGTTGGAAACAACGTTTGATGCGCAAAGTTAGATAACAAATTCTCATGGGAGAAGGTCGTGAATTGCATTCGAATACAACCACATGCATGCGACTCTGAGCGAGTTATAAACAAAAGAAAGACCTTAATCTGAATGATCTGTGAGGGACGCGGTGTTGAATCCGAGGAAAGGAAAGCGGATGACGAGGATAAGTAGATCCCAGCATGAAAGATGTCTTCACCTCTGCACGCGATATCGTCAATCATGAGAAGGAGAAAGATCACTCGGTTTGTCGGAATGATTGTATCATATTTGGATTCTAAAATACTTGTTTCGAAATTTTGACGGAAAATCTGGTTCTCGAGTTACCAAATTGAACTGGCCGCTGTCTGGGTGTGCCACGGGTGCGCCAGTACCTCCTCAATCGTTAGTCAATCACTTGGATCTATCTTGAGCATCCTCCGTAAAAGGTCGTAAAAGTTACCAAAGTCTTCTTTACCAATTGCGCTACCCGCTCTCGAACGTAGAAAACTATCTATCTTTATCTGCCACGCCTGGTCGGCCGCTTCCTGGGAAATATCTGCAAGATGATGAGTCAGTGCGGGCAAGGAATCAGGAAGTTCGACCGCTAATCACCCAGTTTGCAGAGTTCTTCGTTCGAGTCCCAAAAGCTGCGCCACGACGGCGGGACTTGGCCACAGACGGCCGCCATCCTTTTCAGGAGGTAGTCGTTGCAACATGCCCTGTGGAACAGCTCTGGGCCAAAGACGATTTGGTGCATCTGTCAACTAGTGTTAGAGGGGCATAAACATATAAACCGAAGTAGTGATTGTGCATACCACGCAAGCCAGTGCCCAGATGTCGCTCGCGGTTGTAGCAGGTTGGGTCACGACCGATGTAGTGACTTGTTCAAACATGATCTCTGGCGCACATACCGCCGCAGGCGTACAGGCAGGAGGTGCGGAGCTGCTTCCGACAATTGTAGCTACCGAGCTGACAGTGAGCCCACGGCAAGTATCATTCTCGTCCGATACATACCATTTCCTAAATCGAGTAGCTCAACGTGCAGTTCGGCGGGTGGCTTCGGGAGGAGTTCGGAGATATCCGTCGGTGGGACAATGTACGGAGGCAAGGATTTTGGCGATGCAGGCGTCTGACGAGGGAAAACTATTGTGCATTCGGGCGGGTCCAAGCGGTCGATGAGGTCCTTCTCGGTGATCTCGTCCAGTTGCGGCATGGTCACGCCAATATTTCCCATGTGGAAGTCTGTAGCCCGCCCATCTCCATCAGTGTTAATACTAAAATAATTGAAATGACCTAACCTCCGTGCACAACACCATGACGGTGAAGAAAGGCTAGCCCCTGAGCGATTTGGCGAGAGAGTTCCCTCGGGTTCCAGTAAGGTCGTGCAAGCCGAGCAACTAGGAATGAACCAAGAACATTGAAAGCATGTACGGCGTGTGTGCCATTAGGGCCATCAATTGTGAAGCTGTCATGAAGCCGTAGCACATGGCGCCCTTCATCGCTGGGGAGCCGTCTAAAAACATCTAGTTCACGCTGAGGATCGGCATCGGCAACGCAGACTTTGATTGCAAAATAGTGTCTGCGGGTAAATAAGTGAGTCGGTCGCGATAGTAATCATTGAGAAGGTCGTGCTTACCCGGATGCAGAATGATGCTGCGCAGACGCTAGCCATACGGTGGAAAAAGAGCCATGACCGAGCTTACTGAGTATGCGATACTTACGAGAATTGCTTGGTTCGGTATCTGCGGGCGTTGACAATACTTCTCCAAACTGGATGGGGTGATAGCCCCCATAAGTATAGCGGCTAATCTCTTCAACGTCCTCGTCGGCGTTCCAGTGCAAGAGCCGTTGGGGAGGTTTAAATTTTTTTGCAACAGTCATTATTCCATTCGCGTGTAACCAGAAAGCAAGATAAGTAAGATAAAGTTCCCACGGATGATCTCCCTCGAGGAAAACACGCGTTCAGAGGAAGTACGGTGTGTGCACTAAAACCTTGTGTTTCCTGAAAGAGCTCACTTTGCATTGTAGATCGAGGTGTCAACACCTTTTAACCAGAAGGACGTCTATTTCAAGGTGCGACTTTGCATAACCATCGTTATTCAATGAACTGAATAGAAGGGTATTATAGTCGAGTATGCATGCCATTGAAACTATCAAAGTCAGTCTTCAATTCAAAATACATATTATATTTACCTATATGTTCACCCATAGCTAGGCTCAATGACAGTAAGGCCACCGGTAAGCATCAGAGCATTAGCCTCTAATTCCAACAGAGTTCCAAATCTTAAGTGGGAATTTTGATAAAAAATCTGGTTCTCGAGTTATCGAGTTGGACTGTCCGCTGTCTGGGTGTGCCACGGGTGCGCCAGTACCTCCTCAATAGTTATTCGATCACTTGGATCTATCTTGAGCATCCTTTGTAAAAGGTCGCAAAAGATGACAAAATCTTCTCTACTAAGTGCGCAACCTTTTCTCGCAGATGAATCATCTATGTTTGTCTGCCAGATCTGGTCGGCCGCTTCCTGGGAGATATCTGAAAGACGGCAAGTCAGTGCGGGCAAGGAATCAGTTAGTTCGACCGCTAATCACCCAGTTTGCAGAGATGTTCGTTCGAGTCCCAAAAGCTGCGCCACGACGGCGGAATTTGACCGCAGACGGCCGCCACCTTGCCCAGGTAGTAGACGCTGAATGATGGCCAGTGGTACAGGTCTCCGCCAAAGACGATTCGGTACATCTATCAACTAGTGTTAGCGGGGCATGAACATATAAACCGGAGTAGTGGTTGTGCATACAATGCAAGCCAGTGCCCAGATGTCGCTCGCGGTTGTAGCAGCTTGGGTGACGACCGATGTAGTGACTTGTTCAAACAGGATCTCTGGCGCACATACCACCGCAGGTGTACAGGCAGGAGGTGCGGAGCTGCTTCCGACAATTATAGCTATCGAGCTAACGTGAGCCCACGGCAAACATCATTCTCGTCTAGTACAGACCACTTCCTAAATCGAGTAGCTCAATGTGCAGTGCAGCGGGTGGCTTCAGGAGGTGAAAGGCGATATCCGTCGGCGGGACAAGGTACGGAGGCAAGGATTTTGGCGATGCAGGTGTCTGACAAGGGAAAACTATTGTGCAATTGGGCGGGTCGCAGCGGTCGATGAGGTCCTCCTCAGTGATCTCGTCCAGTTGCGGCATGGACACGCCAATATTTCCCATGTGGAGGTCTGTAGCCCACCCATTTCCATCAGTTTTGATGCTAAAATGGATAAAATGACCAAACCTCCGTGCACAACACCATGACGGTGAAGAAAGGCTAGGCCATGAGCGACTTGGCGACAGAGTTCCCGCCGGTTCCAGTGAGCTCGTACAAGCCCAGTAACTATGTCGAATGAAACTAGAACATCGAAAACATGTACGGCATGTGTGCCATTAGGACCATCAATGGTGAAGCTGTCATGAAGCCGTAGCACATGGCGCCCTTCATCGCTGGGGAGCCGTCTAAAAACATCTAGTTCACGCTGAGGATCGGCATCGGCAACGCAGACCTTGAGTGCGAAATAGCGTCTGCGGGTTAAATAAGTGAGTCGCACGCGAAGGCACTCATTAAGAAGGTCGTCTTTACCTGGACTCAGGATGATGCTGAGCAGACACTAGCCATACGGTGGAAAAAGCGCCATAACCGAGCTTACTGAGTATGCGATACTTACGAGAATTGCTTGGTTCAGTATCTGCGGGCGTTGACAATACTTCTCCAAGCTGGATGGGGTGATATCCCCCATGGGTATAGCGGCGAATCCCTTCAACTTCGCCCTCGTCGACGCCCCAGTGCAAGGAGAGCCGTTGAGGAGGTACGGGTTGTTCAACAGTCATGAAGCGCTTACATTTGTGTGTAATCAGAAAGCAAGATAAGATAAAGCAAAGTTCCCACGGATGATCACCCTCAAGGAGAACACGCAATACATAGTACCTCCTCCACTCTCACCAATATCCATCTATAAACATGTTTCTGACGCGTTCAGAGTACGGTATGTGCACCCAATCCTCGTGGTTTTCTGAAAGAGCTCACTTTGTA